TCTTTCCCCCTAGAACTGAATATTGAAATTCCTCTCTCATCTTTCTCCCGCTTTGTACAATCTTATGGGAGCTCATCACCTTCTATACGCCTTTCATGACCTGGAAGATCTTAGTAACGTCTATAGCCTTGGCAATTTCACTTTCTATTTCTCTGGAAATTTCACTTTCCATTTCTTACAAAACTGTAAAATTGCATCAGTTACAGCATAGATCCCTGAAGAATCCCATCAGCTATGAGAGAAGAAAAATAGAAACTTAAAATTTAGGTAGCCTAACACTTACAGAAGAAATCCTTTTAAAAATCCTAGAGAAAAGCCTGGAAGTTGGAATTCGCCTTGGCTGTTTATATCCCAAGGAGATGAGAGGCTTGGCTCTTGGTGAAGAAAGCTGTAACTTGGCCTGAAGGGCATCATGTGGGCCAGCCTTCATCTGTGTTTTATTAGCATCAGAGAACGGTTTTAGTGAGGGGCTATTTAAGAAGGGAGACTCAGTCTTTAGGAAAGCTCTTAGGATTCTGATTCCTAAATAATGGCACCCTAAACTTAATGAAACTGCAAATTAGCAAAGAGAAATGGTGAAGTACATACACACATAATATTTTACAAGGTACACACATATACACAGAAGCTTTTAAGCATTTGCAGTAAATATTTGCATTTAGGTAAATAGGCTTGCATTGATGTTACCAGGGAGTTAAGGAACGAACATTGTGATTTGTTTCCATGCAGCCAGTTTTAGGCTGATTTTGAACCTCAGTTAAAATATGGTTGACTAAAAGTATTTGCAAACAATGCTACCAACAAGGGATTAATTTCCAAAATATACAAACAGCTCATACAGCTTAATACAAAAAGAACCCCAAAGAACCCAATCAAAAAATGGGCAGAAGACCTAAATAGACATTTCTCCAAAGAAGACATATAGATGGCCAAAGACACATGAAAAGATACTCAGTATCACTAATAATTATTAGAGAAATGCAAATCAAAACTACAATGAGATATCACCTCATACCAGTCAGAATGGCCATCATTAAAAAGTGTACAAATAATAAATGCTGGAGAGGGTGTGGATAAAAAGGAACCCTCCCACACTGTGGGAATGTAAATTGGTGCAGCCATTATGGAGAACAGTATGGAGGTTCCTTAAAAAACTAAAAATACAGCTATCATATGATCCAGCAATCCCACTGCTGGGCATATATCCAGAGAAAACCATAATTCGAAGAGATGCATGCACCCCTATGTTCATAGCAGCACTATTTAAAATAGCCAAGATGTGGAAGCAACCTAAATGTCCATCAGCAGATGAATGGATAAAGAAGATGTGGTACACACACACACACACACACACACACACACACACACACACTGGAATATTACTCAGCCATAAAAAAAGAATGAAATAATGCCATTTGCAGCAACATGGATGGACCTACAGATTATCATATTAAGTGAAGTAAGTCAGACAGAGAAAGACAAATATGTAATATCACTTATATGTGGAATCTAAAAAAATGATACAAGTGAACTTATTTACAAAGCAGAATTAGACTCACAGACATAGAAAACAAACTTAGGGTTACCAAAGGGGATACTCGGAGCAGGGGGAGAGACAAATTAGGAGTTTTGGATTAACACATACATGCTACTATGTATAAAATAGGTAAACAACAAGGACCTACTGTATAGCACAAGGAACCATACTCATATCTTGTAATAACCTATAATGGAAAAGAATCTGAAAAAGAATATATGTATAACTGAATCACTTTGCTATACACGTGAAAGTAACACATTGTAAATTAACTATACTTCAATTAAAAAAATAGATTCATAATAACAAAAAAGTGGTTGACTATATTAGTTTTAATATGTATTAAATACCAAACTGAAAAAGAAATAAGAAAATAGGTACTCGTAATGTCGCTGGTAAGAGTATAAGTTGGTACAACTGCAGTAGAAGGCAATACGGTGATGTCTTGCAAAATCACAAATCCATACAACTTTTAACTCAGAAGTTCTACTTCTAAAATGTATATCCTGTAGATATATTATTTACACATGTACACAATGACACAAGTACAAGGTTATTCACAGCAGCATTATTTTTACTAGTTAAGATTGGAAACAACCTGAATGTCCATTCTCAAGGAACTGGCTACATAAATTATGGTACATTCAAACAAGAGAACACTGCATAGCTGAAAGAAGAATGAGAACTCTTTTATGTATTGACATGGAATGATGTTCAAGATAATTGTTAGTTTAAAAAGATCAAAGGGGCTTCCCTGGTGGCGCAGTGGTTGAGAGTCCACCTGCCGATGCAGGGAACACGGGTTCGTGCCCTGGTCCGGGAATATCCCACATGCTGCGGAGCGGCTAGGCCCGTGAGCCATGGCCACTGAGCCTGCACGTCCGGAGCCTGTGCTCCGCAACGGGAGAGGCCACAACAGTGAGAGGCCCGCGTACCGCAAAAAAAAAAAAAAAAACAAGGTGTAAAAGAGTGTTTACAGTGGGCTACCATTTGTGTAAAAAAGTGAGAGTAAAGTGCGTCAATATATGGATTAGATTGAACCATATGAAATTGCCATTATTAGGCTGGTTTGACCTGCAAAAATGATGACGACTTCCATTTGGTTCCACCTAATATTTGCTTGAAGTTACATAAAATCTCTTCAGAAATGTGCACTGTAAACTGATAGTATTCGTTGTCTTGGATGGGAAGCAGAGCTGAGTTAACTAGGGGGCAAGGAGGAGATTTTGAACACTGTGAATATTAAGTCATGGGGATGTACTACCTATTTAAAAACTGATTCACTTGAAAATTATATATAAGTAAATAAAATAGATAAATGTGGCTGAGTAATATCATTTTCTCATCTTGCTCTAGAATGAAACTGAGAAATGTGTTCCTACACTGAAGCAACCAAACAGTTTAGTTTAGTTTCCTTTTTCCTTCCACTGCGCCAGAAGATTCTGCAAATTATCTTAAGATATCTTATCCAGGAAGAAATCAGAGCCTTCAGTGTTTTTGAAAAAAAGAAGACAATATCTATATCACTAATCCTGCCCATAGAGACTTTCTGAGTATTTCTTCCCAGTGACTTCAACTTCTGAGTCTACTTTAATGACTCAAGTACATTAATTAGCAAATGGAACAGTGAAGAAGAATGGAAATGTTAAACCAGATATGAATATGAACACATTAAAAAGAAAATGACTGCGTCTCTATTCCTATTCTATAGATTATTTGTTGTAGTGGACATGATGAAAACCATTTCCTCAACTACTCAGGTGATAACTCCAGAGGTGGAAATGTCAAAAGAGAGAAGGTTAAACTTAAGATTCACCTTTTAAAAGGATTTGTATGTCAAGTGACTTAAATTTTTATGAATTGAAATGTCCAAGCTAGGGACCAGTTCTGTACTAAACAAAGGAGCTTGTCTTTAGCCAGACGCTGGAACATCAGGGGTGTTGTACTCTCACCCTGTTGCTAAACGTAAGGAGTTTTCAAGGAGAAGACACAACCTGTATTACTGAAGGCTAACACATTTTGTTTTCTGTTTCTTGAAAGAATACACAGAGAAACAACCCAGAAATTTTCCTGAGAAAATGAATCTATAAAGAAAAGGACCTTTTTACATTTCCAAATTTATACAAATTAATTTTTCAACGTGCAAAGTTACCAGCTCAAGAATTAGCGTATATACTGTTATAAGGTCATGCAAGAATGATAGTTTGAAGAGGCACATATTTAAGGACTGTCTGCAGTAAGCAAACATCTGGTAAACTTTCTCTTTTCTCGAAATATAGGTACCAAAAATCCATAAATGACCTGAGGTTTTGCTGCAGCCCTGGGAGTTCATTTATTCATTGGACAAATGTGTACTGCTACTGTGTATAAAACATGGTCACTTGTATCACAAGAGTGATCAAAAAACAACAACACACGCACACACCAGGTTTATTTGTTTTGTGTTACATGTAATCTTTTCACATTCTTTGAAAATTGTTAACCTGATTATTAACTCGTGTGTATGCTTTCAGTCAACCAGAGTATTAAACTTACGAGTCCTTTCCCAGCTCATTCTGTGTACGTGAGAGCTGGCTGCATCTATAGCTCCGTGTCTCATCCCCCATCCTGCTTGTGCCGGTCTCCTGAGACGTTCTCTGCTGTTTTAGAACTCTATGCCCAGCTTCATTTAATGGGAAGTGAGCATTTCTAAAATGGGTCTAAGGGCAAAATGGACTCTGCTTCCCTCACAACAGCAGGATTAGAGACCGTTTCCTCCGCTGTGGGGTGCAGTGACCTGAGAAAACACAATTGCCTGTTAAAATTCCTTCTACTTGTTTCGTGCTTTAAAGCTCACAGAGTACTTTCGTGGCCACCACCTTAGTTCATTCTCATAATAAGCCCATGTAGTAAATGTGCAAATACCATTTTCCTCATTTAACAGTGAGGCATCAAGACTACAAAAGGTCTTCAGACCCGCCCAAGTGGTGTGACTGGGGTTAGAAGCCAGTCCCTGGAATGGATGCCGAGAATGGTGAGCATGTGAGGAGCGGGCCACATGCAGCAACTTTATACCCAGGTTAGAAAGAATAATCATGATGTGCTTGTCAGGGAACCCATACACATGTCAAAGCTCATCGAGAAACCCGGAAAGGTGAATGGTTACAACTGTGTCCAGATGGACTTGCCTGTGTGAATGGTACCAGGTATTTACCTTCATTTTGCAGGGCAGTGGATTTGAAGTTGTGCCTGTAGCCTGCTCTAGCCCAGACACTAAACAATTCCGTTTTCTTGGAGATGCTAAAGGAGCTTTCTCTGGCGTTCAATAACAGTTTCACAGTGTGATTAGTTTATATCTCACATCCGAATAGAGCTCCAACTTGCACATCCTAGACAACTTTGTAGCCCCTTGCTTCTTTGAATTGATGTAGATTGCTTCGTGTCTGCAAAATTAATCCAGGCCTTTTTTTTTTTTTTTTTCTAGCCCACTGCTTATGAAAAGACTTCTGTGCCCAGTAAGAAGGAAAACATGGATGACTTGGACATGAGTTACTCAAGTTACATATCTAGCAGACTCCCTTCAGTTGAACTCAAGGGAGAAATAGAGAAACCCCCCACGACTTCAGGGCAAGGAACAGCACCCAAAGGCACTGCTAAATCCATTGCCCTGCCTAGAACCAAAAAGAAACTCAAACAACACTGAACAGTACAGAAACAGAGCTGCTCTTTCTAGTGCAATGAGGGTTTAGGAGGGGAAAAGGACAATAGTGTGCCGAGGTTTCAGCGTTTCAGCCGCTCTGAGCCCCGCCAAGTGTTTGCACCAGTTTTAAAATTGAAGCAGTCAACTCCAAAGTGGGGTTAAAGGACAGCCAGCAACAGGCTTGATGGCTTGTGCAGCTGAAATCAACTCAAGGTGTTTTTGAGAGTTGTTCAGAGGAGTGGATGCCCTCAAAGCAAGGCTGTGGGCACACTTGTCCAGTTGTACTTCAGATTCTTACATTTAGGCGCAATTATTTGTAGGGGAAACTGAGAGCCAGAACCTCAGTGGAGGTTCCAAATGATTATGTGCACTTTGCACTAGAAGATTTGTTAGGAAATGACTAATAAACTTGTCTATAAGCGTAACAGCAGAAGTGCTTCAGCCATTCACGTGTGTTCTTGTGATTTTAGGTTGCTGTAGATTGTTTAAGACAGCTTATTTTAAATGTAGAAAAATGGATTTTGTAACTGTTTGCCATTAACACGCTGCTAAATTCCCAACGTATCGATCGAATCAATAAAAAACCAGATGTCACCCATGCATGTTAATTTTTACGTGAACAAGAGGTGACTATAATCAGGTCCTCTAAGCCCTAAAAAGCAAATTTTGAGCTTGGCCTGCTGCTGCAAAGGTAGGCACACATCTTTGGGGATGGTCATGAGGCTGGACACAGGGGAAGGTACATCATTCCTCTTAGTATTATAGGTCTCTCCTTTGCAGCTGGACAAATAGTTTCGTCATTCTAGGTCACACTGGGTGAAGAGATGCTTCCCTTGGCCTCACAGACAAACTCTGAGGAAGCAATTTGCATCTGCTTTTGCCTTTATAAAGTAAGTAACCTAGGTTAATGCCAGCTCCTCGTGGGATTGTCACTTAAGCCTCCAAAATGCCCCACACCTGGCCAGCTGAGCAGGTACTAGTTGCACATAAATCCCCTCAATGGCTGAAGGCAGTAGACGTGCTTCTAGTGATAAATTTGGAAGACACCGTCCAGCCTCCAAATGGGTCAGCGATAACACTGACGTATGTTGCCCCTGGCTGAGTAGTTTGGCCAGTATTTTCTCAGTGCCTTCAAGGTGCTTCCCCGGGGGAATCTGCCAGCTTTACTTTAAAACTGGAGTTGAAGCTTCTTCAGGGTCTTTCTCCTTCCTGACTATTACTTCCAGTCCTGCCAGGAGCCCGTAAACCATCTCTCCGGGATTAGTGAGCCATCTTTGAGGAGCGTATTCTGTTCACCTACAGAGAAGCCAGCCTCAGCTGAGTGGAGATTTACGTTGCCCAGAGGTGCTCCCAGAGGCAGAGGTGAGGTGACTGGTCTCCCGGCAGAAAAGCCAACCGAGACAGTGGCTTGGATTCTGTCCTTCCCCTGGGCCTGAAAATGGGGTAGTTCCTGTGTTCAAAACTGCTCTTACTTTCATGGTGATACCTTCTTCTCTATCATGTACTGGAGAACTCTTGTTAAATTGAATAGTATCCAAATTTCTATCCACATTTCTCTTCAGTCTTTTTGTTTTTTTTATTTGGGGTATAGTTGTTTTACAGTGTTGTGCTAGTTTCTACTGTACAGCGAAGAAGAGTTCCCTGTGCTATACAGCAGGTTCTCATTAGTTATCTCTTTTACACTTATTAGAGTGTGTATGTCAATCTCCATCTCCCAGTTCATCACACCCCCCACTTTCCCCCCTTGGTGTCCATACGTTTGTTCTCTACATCTGTGTCTATTTCTGCCTTGCAAACCGGTTCATCTGTACCATTCTCTTCAGTCTTAAATTAGTGATTCTGCTCAGTAAACTTGAGCAAAGGTCCAGAACTAAGCACTAAGTGAAAGGTGAAGTCATTTTATAAGCTTTTAGTACATCTGTACCTTTTCCCACCCCAGCACCAGGCCAGGCCAGCTGTCCATCTACCAGAAAATGCGTTCTATTAGCTGTCCTCTGTGCAGACCTTCACTTGATTTACATAGAATCATTTTGCCCGGGACTTAGCTCACTCTTTCTAAAGAGAATTTTCGTATTATTTCTATTTGTTATTTATTTGTATGGAACACACTTGGGCCAGGCCATATCTGAGCTTTGTTTTCCAACTGTGTACCTCTTTACTATCTGGGGATCTGTGGCCTTGATTTCTCCATTTACTTTCATGGCTGTGAAAATAGTTACTCTTCTGTTTCAGATGTGTTTTCAGTGACTGCTAGGCCCACTCCAAGGCACTGATAATCACTCTGACACCTCCTGTGCACCACGGCATGGAGGGCTGGGCTTCGTTATGACCCACAGGGACACAGTCTGCCCAGGACAGTGCAGAGCAGGTGTCATTTCCAAGGAATGCAAATGCCAGTCAACACTCTGACTTGAGTAACAGACAGGTCAAGGCAGTAGGAATATGATAAAAGATAAATGCCAGCCGGGGGCTGGGGAGAAGTTCAGCCGAGGAGAACAAGAGGATGGCAGAGATGGACTTAAATCACAGAAGACAGGAAAATGGGTTGGGGTCAGGGGAGCAAAAAGAGAACAAAGTGTAATTAATAAGGAAGACTGGTTGGATAACAACACATGGTTCTGCCAAACCCGGAAGCAGGAGTCAGAGGACGAAAGTGCTCCTGGGGTAATTAGAGAGGTCCCTGTCCTAGGCCAGTCTGCATTAGGACTGGCCTCTCGTGGCCTGGACAGCAGCACACCTGGGTGAGGACACAGGCTGAAGAACAAAGACCTGGGGAAATGGAAGCTGAGAGAGGCCGGTTGTAAGAGGTGGCCACAGAATGGTCCTGACATTTTGAGTAGGAACGTTATGTGGCGTAGGGAGGGGAAAGGAGAAAAAATTCAAAACACTTTGTGCTTATCACTGAAATGCTTTGTTTAAATAATTCTATTTGACTCCAAAATGTAAGTTCCAGGTTAGAAAGATTGAAAGCAGCCAGTCTTGAAAATGAAGCTTTTTAAATTCCAGCCCTGCTGTTGGAATAGAGAATAAAGGCTTTGTTCAAACATGCATTCCCAGCAGTAAGCAGAGCTTTGAAATTGGCCAGGGAAGTTGTGTTCCATAATGGCTGCACTTGGCTGGAGACCAAGAAGCTGTGGCCTCTGGGAAATGACCCTGGGCTGGATATTTTCCATCTGCCCCTCCAGAACCACTCTGCCCTGCTCTGCCCTCTCCACTCAGAGAAGTGATCTTTCAGGAGTGAATTAACAGGCTCCCTTGGCCTCTGGCTTCGCTGGGCTTCTGTCAGTGGAGGACACCAACAGGCACTCAGGGAGCGGAGAGGTCTAGGCCTTGATTCCCCCAGTGCTGGGCCACTGGGAAGTCACTGCATTCTCTTTCTATAGACCTCAGCTCCTGCCGGCAGCGCTCCCTCACAGCTGTGTTCCCCGCCCCTTCAGGCTAAGACCAGGGCTATTGCCCTGGGGACTGTGTCTTCCTTCATGGGTTTCCCTAAACTCTCTGGTACCTTTACAAGTAGCCTCTTTGTTAGATTCTCAACTACCCCGTTTGAGTGAGTACCATCTGTCTCCTCCTGACACCCAAGGTGATCCAGACCCTTGTCAGTTTTGCATTGTTTTGACCTGGGGCAGCTTTGTCTATGGTTGCCAATCTCCTACCAAATGACAGTAAAGTGAAGAGCAGAGAGCATAAATGGGTTCTTCCTGAAACAAACTGATGCCCTTGGGTGGTCACTGGGGCTTGAGCGAGGGGGTGACAGGGGAGATATTCCTGAGCTTGGAACCTAGACCCAGTGAGATAAATCTAGCATTGCCCAGGTGGATCTGAGATTGTGTGGACCCAGAAGGCTGAAATTTAGGTCTTAAATTCCAACCGTGGCCTCTGGGAGCCTAAAAGAAAGCCACACTTGACTTGTAACAGCCAAGAGGACCTACAGGCTGGGACGGGAGCTACCCTCGCCGTCTCCTGGCTGTGGACTCAGGGCTCGGCAGAGGCTTCCAGGGCAAGCACAGGCAGCCTGAAGACAAGACGTCTCCCTGGGCTGTGCATTTGTTTCTTCTCTACAAGTGCTAACGTCACTTTACAAAGCATTTTAAAGTAAAAATTTTCGCTATTCAGAGGTCTCACATAGTTCACTTTTATTCTTCAGGATCCTGTACTTTCCTGTGTGAGCAGGCTCAGGCTTGTGATTTCTGCTCAGTACATGGTTATCACTTCATTCTCTCATGGGTGAGCCAATTTTCTTTGCTTTTGTTCTTCAAAGGAAGACCATAAGCAGTGTCTGTCTTGCTTTTTTGTGGCTGCCTTCCTCAGTTGCTGGTATAACCAGCTCTCTCTGTTCCCTAAGTTGTCCGGAGCAGCCCTCAGCCAGAGCCACGCGGATCCCCACCACTGCCCCAGCGACCTCACTTCAAGCAGCAACACACAGGAGACAGTGGAACACTGGGAAGGTTGATAGGGCTATGGCAGTGTCACCACTGGCTCTCTTAGAGCCTTCCCCTCTTGGCTGCCTGGTGCCACCCCAGACATCTTTGAGGGACCCAGTGAACTCAAGGTGAAGACCTCAGAGGCCCTTCTCCGCGAAACATGCAGTGGTTCCTGGCCTGGCACAGAGGACAGACCCACAGATGCAGTGCGGACCCCTCCGCCCGGTATGAACTTCTCCTAAGTGGACTCTGTAGCATCTCCAGAGCAGGCATATCCTTGGCATTGATACGGAGGTTACATAAATCTCCCTGCCCTTGGGGGGCTGAGACAGCTTTGACCCTCTCACCCACGGCGGGGTCTGCAGACAAGATCCTGACATCACCCTGTTGTCTGGGAGAGACTTCTCATCAGCACAGAAAGCTGTCTCCATCCCCAGGGCAACTGTGCCGTCCCAGGAGTCAGCATCTCCAGGCTGACCAGGGGCAAGGCAGCAGCCAGTATTTCCTGGTCCAGGCACTGGTTCACGCTGAGTTTACTAGAGATCAGAGTCCCCTTGTTAGCTGGACTTTGAGCTGTATTAGTGGAAGCAATCACTGTCTCTTAACTAAAGCCCTTCTTCAGGGTCATAATGTAATAATAGCAGCAACATCTACAGAGCACTTGCCACATGCCAGACACCATCCTGAGCCCTTTACACGTATTCTTCTAATCCTTATAACAATCTCGAAAGAGGAATAAATTAAGGCACGGAGAGGTTGAGAAATTTGTCCAAGGTCACACAGCTAAGAAGTAGCAGAACCAAGATTTGAACGTAGGCAGCAGGCTCAAGTGTGTCTCCAGGCATTTGTAGTTCAGGCCTGAGACTGCTGTAAAGTTCAATCTCAGAGTTCCAAAAGGCCAAGTGGTTCCTGAACGTTCTGTCTTCCAGCAAAAGTCGAGGTAATTTTGTGAAGTTTGGGCCTTGAGGTTTCGGAACAGAGTAGGATTATTTTGCATGCTAATAAATTTGAGTAAGACCCAGCCACACCCAGGGAGAGCTGCATTCTGCAGGACTTTGCATAATACAAATAAGTTCTAAATGCTCTAACAGGTCATTGTCAGGAGCAGTCTTTAGAAGCCTTTGAATATGTTTTTGACAGAAGAAAGAAAAGGGGC